GGGCTGGCTCCTCGGTCGTCCGCGTGTATTTCTCTGCTCCAAGGAGGACACAGCCGTGGCCTCTTCCCTCAGCGGCAGAACAGGAACGCGGGAGGAGAGAAGACGTGACATTTGACCCGATCTATAAACTCATACAATAAAATGTTATTAGAATTGGAACTTTGATCTCTAACCTCCAAAGTGAAATATGTGACAATGCTTTATAAGCTGCAAAGGACTGTTTGAGTAAGCGTTATTAATAATAATAATAATAATAGAAAATGCAACAGTTGCTAAAATTTAAGATGCTGGCTTTTTGTTTCCCTTAAAATGACTTACTTGATTTACTAAGTGACCCGAAATGAGACTAAGCCTTCAAATCCAGATCAGAATCTAATCTCAGGAGTGGTTTCTGCCTCTGGCAACTGGTTAAAAACAACGGGCCTTAGAACTGAAAACGCCTGTGAGGCTGAGCGACGGCGCGCACTTGACACTGTTCCTGAGCCTGGAGGTGGCGGCGGCGCCCGCAGCTGCTCGGCCCGACTCCCAGCTTTTTAAGTTCAGTCCTCACCCGAAGATGTGTTTTACCGATTTTAGACAGAAGGGGAGAGAGAGACGGCGACACCGATTGGCCGCCTCCCCCGCTCCCCGCTGAGCCGCAAACCCAGGCGCGGTCCTGGCCGGGCGCGCGGGGCAGCCTTTCCGTGCCCGGGGCGACGCCCCCNCGCCCCCGCCGAGCCCCAGCAGGGCCCGGGCTCGCCTTCAAACCCCAAGGCGCAGGCATCTGCGGCTGTGGCTCCCCAACTTCCTGAAACTTGACAAAAGGCCCAGAAAACTTCTAAAAGCTTGGAAGGGTCAGAGCCAGAAAAAATGTGCCCATTTCTTTCTGTAATTTCAATTTATTGAGTTTTCTGAACATACTCGGGATATTTTTGAAAGAAGTGATTTTAAAACCTAAAATATCAAAAACAGGCAAAGTAATTTGAAATGTGGGCTTTATTACGGTTTCTATTTGTGTAAAACCACTAAAAATATTTTAAAATAAGGTTGTTTGGTAGTTCAGAGTGATGATAGCATTTACAGAAAAATATAAACAGCAGTCTTTGAAAACGTAGACGTTTGCTGTTAAGGCGAAACGGCAGCCCTTGAGTTACACAGGGGAAGGCTAGTGGAGCACGGCCCGGGCTGCACCAGCCCACAGCTGCCCACGAGGACAGCCTGCGGAAGTCAAACTGGAGGCCTCCTTATTTGCAAGTTTCATTTTTGAGAAGGAAGGAAGCAATTTTTTTTCTTTGTTAGTTTCAATGCGGTTGTCATTTTAACAAACCCATTCTTTGACCCAGATGTGGTAAAAACCCTTGCTCTCAGAGCTGCTCCGGGCTGCCAACGTCTTTTAAATTAGAATGTGGTTAAACGCCACTCCTGTGGCCTTAACCCAGGCTTTGGGAGATTTGAAGCTTGGTTAACTTCGTTTGATACAGCCAAATGCTGTGAGGGCTGCTGGGAATACACGAAATTAGCTAAATGCTTTCTCAAAGGTTTAAGTATTCCTAGGCTACCAATTTAGGAAGAGATTAAAAGGAACCCCTCAGAGAAATGGCACCCCAAAATTCGGGCGAGAACAGTTATCAAAGCAAAACAGAGGAAAACTCCAGGCACTGTGTTGTCCACACACACACACAAGAGGGCTTACCTGTTTGAATGATCACTAATGAATCATTTCATTTGAAAATAAAGTGCCCCACGGCTGTATCACTCCCACCTACTTGGCTTTTAGGACACATGGCTTCACGGGGCTGTGACCCGCAGACCTCCACAGGCCCCACACTCAGCCCGGTGCTTGGGTCTGCTGCAGCTATCTTGAAATTCTTAATAATTTTTGGACCCAGCCGGGTGTGGCTCAGCGGTTAAGCGTCGACCTAGGATCCAGGCAATCAGGCTTCGATTCCCGGTCAGGGCACATGCCCGGGTTGCAGGCTGCAGCCGATCAATGACTCTCATCATTGATGTTTCTCTCTCTCTCTCCCTCTCCTTTCCTCTCTCTGAAATCAATAAAGATATATTTAAAATAAATAATAACTTTTGAATAGCAGACCCCACAGACTATGTAGTCAGTCCTGTTTTTAAAGCATATTCTCTTGGTTTTTCTGCTCCTGTCCTAAGCATTGTTTCTGTATCTACTCTGTGGGCCCCTCTTTTTCTGCCTGAATCCTGGGATTCCCACATTTGCTCCTTGTGGTCTTCCTTTCACACTCTCCCTTGTAATCTCTAAGTACAGGTATACTGATTTGACTGACTCTGTGTCTCCCACCAAGAGGTGGGAGATGTGACCCTATCTCCTAAACCGCTCTTTCCCTTCCACTTATTCCTTCTGTGACTCGTTAGTTAAGCCTGGTCATCACCTCGCTCTGGGCTGTTACAGTGTTTCCATCTCATTGTCCTAAGTCCCCTCTTTCCTTCTGATCCATCCACCACCCTGATCTCTCCCGATACAAACTTTGTTGCGTAACCCAACCTTTCTACCACAATGATGTTCTTTCTAAAATAGTTATATGATTTTATTACCATATTCCTTAAAATTTTCTATTTCCCCAGTGTTTTCAAGGCATAAGTCCCAAATCCTAAATCCTTAGAGCGAAACTCAAGGCTGATATTAGGAGCCTATTTTCCAGCTAATTTCTAGCCATATCTCCACGACCTACCGGTTACTGTGGCTGCCTTAAAAGTATTGCTTTCCTGGTCAGTCTGAATCAGTGTAGCACTTGGCACAAAATAAATGCTCTAAACAGGAATGAATGACATCAGTGTGTGTCAGTGATTTATATTCGAAATTATAAAGCCTAGAAAGTAAACATCAATATGATGGAACAACCATGTTTTCTAAGCGGTCACAATGCACTTCTTTTATGAGTACATGTCTCAATGATTTATTCCACCTGAAGGAATTTTTAGCTTTGAAATATGTCTAAAGCTCAACATTGTGATTACAAATGAGACATTCTTTCTTTGTGTTTACATGTCTCTGGGGATTCTGCCAGGCTTCCCTGTTGGAGCGGCCCCTCCGTTGTCCAGACGGGAAGGAAGACAACCGTCCCCGCGATGCATTTCCTGGGAGGGACGATGGCAGTGCCCGCACCCTTTCCTCTCCACTCCCAAGAGTCCTGGTAGGCCTGGAATGTTCAGTCCCGCTCCAGAACACTCCGTTTCTAACAGTTTTCCTCACCAACCCTCAAACAGAATTTTACAAAAACAGTAACTCATACATTTTAAACTTAATATTCATCTTTTATCATAATTTTACATAGTTGCAAAAGATATAAGTCAGATGTTTAATAACTTTTAAGCTATTTAATTTATCCAAAGAAAATTATATATGGTAGTGATTTGATGCCCATTGTCATGCAACATATGTACAAACATGTACAAACATGTACAAATACACGTACACGTAAAAACTTAACAACTGCATCTCCTCAGACTTCTCTTTTCATTCCACTTCCTCCATAGAATTTTCTCCTAATATTAAGTAGTTTATATGCTTGTAAGTTTTCTTTACCATATTTCTTTATAGTAAAAACATGTGGACATTGAAGTTAAACATTTTTATTTCCTCTGGCCTTAGACTCTAAGTATTAAAATTTTAAAATACTGACTTATACATTAGAAGTATTATAAATTCATAATTGATTGGAAAGACAAAAGTAAATTATATATTTCTACGAATAACTATTACACAGAATGAAATTTTATGGAAAATGTGTTTCTCAATGAGATGTAGGTGTGTTTTTTTTAATATACCTTTATTGATTTCAGAGAGAGGAAAGGATAGGGAGAGAGAGAGACAGAAACATCAATGATGAGAGAGTCATTGATCGAGCCCGCAACCCGGGCATGTGCCCTGACCGGGAATCGAACCCCGATCGCCTGGATCCTAGGTCGACGCTCAACCGCTGAGCCACGCCTGGCCTGGCAGGTGTTTTTTTTTTTTTAATTACTTCATGGATAAATGTTAGTGGTAGCTAGAATAGAACAGCTTCCACAGAAATGCATACAGAGAAAGTCTTCACATAAATTGACGGAGACAGAGTTTTGTTACAGCAATGTCACTTGGTTACTTGAACATTTAAGGCCATATAGTAAGAATGTCAAAGTGGTGCCCGGCCAGTGTGGCTCAGCAGTTGAGCATCAACCTAAGAAACAGGAGACCTCGGTTCAATTCCCAGTCAGGGCACATGCCTGGGTTGTGGGCTCAATCCCTGGTAAGGGGCATGCAGGAGGCGGCCAATGTTCCTCCCTCATCTCTCTCTCGCTGTCTCTCTCAAATCAATAAAAACAAAGGATTATAAAGTGAACTATTATAAAAGCTTTTGTGGTATGAATACTGAGTCCTATATTTAGTACTTTAGTTTTAACTGACTACCTGCGTGTTTCCTTCTTTTATTTGGAAGCAGAATTGGAAACCATCTGATTTGCCATAGGGTCTGTTACCCAGTTATTGGAGTCATTTGGGGGAAATGTACCAAAAAGGCTTTCCCAAGACATCAGGTTACTACAATGAAATCCCTACTTCACCAGAGAGGCTCCTTCTTTAACCCAGCAGGTTCAGAAAGAACCGAGAAAATTAAAATATTGTTCACATCAAAAA